CATATGACATACATTTGCCGTAGTAATCAACATTGTCAGAAATGGCGTTAGAACCTGGAACTTTCCTTTCTAGAACTGATAAGTTCTATCTAACTGAATATCCATTTTATAAATCAATTAGAGAGAATAAAGACTGAGGTCACCTGATGTAGTGCAGTATTTTCTGTTTATATATAATTTGATGAGAAGATTCATAGACTTGCTTTATAGGCAATATTTTTTACACACTAAACTTTGGGCTTGGTAAGATTTTTTTTTTAATGTATTTGAATTTTGAAAGAAGTCTCTTATGCTCACCAAGGCTGCATTTATTTGATCAAAAATACAGTAATAATCAGCAATATAACCGTAATATTTATTTTAATATATTTCAAAATAATTTCTTCCTGTGATGCAAAGCTGAATTTTCAGCATCTTTACTCCAGTCTTCAGTATCACATGATCCTTCAGAATTAATTCTAATATTTATTATCAATGTAAAAAAAAAAGTGTGCTGCATTTTTTTTTCAGGATTCTATGATGAAACAGTTTAAAAGAACAATATTTATTTGAAATGGAAATTTTTGTAAAACTATAAATGCATTTTACTATCACTTTGGGCCGATTTAATGTGTCCTTGCGGAATAAAAGTATTCATTTCTTTAAAAAATATTTCTGACCCTATATCTGATCAAATATAAATGGCGAATGTAAAAGCATGTAGTCATGCAGTTAGTATGAAAACATTCCCAACGGTTTGCATATTAGCTTGTACAAGTTTTGGCAGCTACATTGCATGGCTGATATTAATTTCACTGGGTTGCAGTTCTGATTATAAGATGTAAACACGTCTGTTATGAACACAATACAATGTTAAAAATAAAAGTGAAACAAAAAAAATAATGCATTAAAATATAAATAGAATGAAAAACCACAAATTGTGTTAAAATAAAACTGAAGAAGCAACCAATCAGTGTACTTAAAATATTACTCTAGTGTAAAGGTTGTGATTTTCTTTTCTTTCTTTTTTTACCTTCAGGTAAATTTTTAAACTGGTTGCTAGGTGTTTAGGTGATTACTTTCTGGACCAAGTCAAGGGAACTAAGCTGTAATCTGTGCGCTCTTGTGAACATCTTATCCAGAGCCGTGTGGATGTAAACAAAGCACTCCTAATGCTGTTTGACTAATTACACTGCTCCTTTTATAGAGCTCTGTTCAGACTCTTTCACTTGTTTGGGTTAGATAATAGAGGACCTAATCAACTACAATTAATGAAATCTGTCTGTAGTGATTAATCATCGTCACAGAATCAAATTAAGACTAATGCCTACAAGAAGAAAATCAAAGAGCCTTATACAGGGGAACACGCAGCCATGGACTTTGTCAGTGATTGACATGTTATTTTACTTGTTTGTGCACAATATGTTGGCAACTTTATTGGTATTGCCCATGTTAACATTATCTTTTTTAATTATCTACCGCTCTGTTTTATATGCTGATACTGGAAGCAGATATTGTTTTCCAGTTTAAACAATAAATCATTAGCCATAATACAAATAATTGTCACATAACAGTATTATTACAATACAATATGATATAATATATCATATTATAATATGTTTTTTTTCTTTATTAGTCTGATTTGGCAGATACTGGAATTGGGTATTATCTGGGCTTTTTTTTCTTTTGTCTTTTTTTTTAAATGCACTTGATGCATGCAGAGTTTAATTTAGTTTATTTTTTAATTTTACTTTTTAGTTTAATTTTAACAAATAGATTTAGATTTAATTGAACAATTTTTGTTGTTGTTTGTAGACAACATACTAAGTTAAATTTATTCATAACTTTTGAGCCATCATAGCGGTTACCAGCCATAATAAACATAAACATGATTAGGAATTTTCAGTATTGGTCAGTTGTTGTTGTTTTTTTGTTTGTTTTTTTTTCCCCGTACGTAGATTTTTAACTGCAGTGGTGTCTTTTTTTTTTTTTTAATCTCATGTCATGCACACTAAAAGTAAAACTCAAAACAAATAGATTTTTCTTTCTCTCCTACTTTTCACATGATCTGCTGGTGTCATTTTCCTCTTGGACTCATCCATCACCCTGTATTCATGCGCATTTTGACGTATCGCATTAGAAACGAGTGATGGAAACGCCAAATTAATAAAAAAACAACCTTAATTTGCAAGAATGTTATGCTTGCTTGAGGTTGCATAATAATGGGAGATGGAAACGCATTTGCCAAAAAAAATCCTCCATGCGCATCAAAAAAGTCATGTGACTTTGCATTATGGGACGGCATAACCTGACTAACCATTGGACCGAAATTGGTGCACTGCATCTGAAATGTTGTTATGGTCATTCCTAAATGCCCGAGCAAAGTCTGTCGTCAAAGTGTTTCTGTATAATTGCCTCCCAGAACTGTCTTGCATGACTGCATTCCCACACAGCAGCATCCACCTCCAAAAGGTGCAAGTAAATTATTAAATATGAAAATTATTATATTCAGTGGCTTCTCCTTATGTTCAGTGGCTATGTGATATTTAGTGCCAGTTTATCAGGAAGTGACTATTTTGTTCTCTTTGACTCGTTGGATGGAAACTGTGTTTATTCACAAATGTTTTATGTAATATTCTAATTTTTCGCAGTTAAATTCGCAACTTTGGATGGAAACCCAACTAATGTCTCTTTTTTTTTTTTTGGCAGTATCATAGCCAAGCACAAGGCTCTAGAGGGTCTGAGTCAGGCGTCGGTGGAGTACCAGGCCCTGCAGCTGGTGTCGTCTCTGGAGCATTATGGGGTGGAGTGGCACTGGGTGCGGGATGCTGAAGGACAGAGGTTGGCTATCGGAGTGGGACCAGACGGTATCGCTATCTGCCGAGAGGACTTCAGCCTGGTTAACAGGTTAGGCACAGCATGAAGTGCTCTTGATGGTGTAACTGTCATAAAATGACGCCCAGCTCACATCCCAGAATCAGTCATGTAACATTAAATCAATTTGTGCCATCGCTGCCTTTCAGTAATGCGTCATATTTTCCATTCATTTCAGGATATCTTATCCCATAATACAAATTGCCACGCAATCAGGGAAGAGCGTTTACTTGACTGTCACCAAGGAAACCAGCGACAGTGTGATCCTGCTGTTCAAGTTAATCAGTAATCGAGCAGCCAGCGGTCTGTATCGGTCCATCACAGAGACGCATGCATTTTACAGGTGAGACACCAAAAACCCTTCAGTGAGCACAATGATGCATTACAGTCCAAAAAAATCAAATGTTTTCCTGTTAAGTAGCTTCTGCACACGATTTCTGTTACGTGACACTGAGTATCTAGCATGCTTTAGTTTACCTGTCTGGACCACTCAACATACAGTCAAACCAAAATGTATTCAGACACTTTCAACATTTCACACATTATCACAGTTTATTCGCTATAGTTTAGGTAATAAAATATGACAAGAACTCCGAGTTAAACTGTGTCAGAACAAATAACAGATAACACTTGAGCAAAACATGGTCAGGTCAAAGTGTCTGAATTTTTGGTCCCAAATGTTTATCAGTTTTACTGATAGCCCACTGTATGAATAATGTTTGGGTGTAATATGTCACAGTTTACTTTATTTTGCTATGTGCACTTACATAAATGAACTAATTATAGTGTCCTGCACCCACTAGTAAAAAAATATCAAAAATTATATCTGGTGTCTGAATAGTTTTTAGTTTGACTGTATGTTGTTCTTTACACATTATCATAGAAAGGAAATAATCTTTGGCCTGGCTAATTGTTTGAATTGCTCTGTTGACTCTGAGTTTTGTGCTTCTGTTCTTTGTATGGTTGTCAGAAAAGTACAGGATTATGTGCTTTTGTTTTGAGCTTTCTCTGAGCATAGTTCATTGCAAACCAGCTTCAGCCATTTTAATTTTTTTTGTAAACAGCTCATTGTGAGAACTTCTTGCATCGTTAAACACGTTACAAAGTAACTAAGAACAAATAAGCTGTACAAGTGGGTCAGTCTTACAAAACCATGTCAAAAAAGTAACAATTCTGAAATGTTCTAAAATGATTTTTTTTTAAATATTAATATAAATATTAATATAAAAAATATATATATATATAAAATTCAATCAATAAATCACATAAATAAAAAATGGATGGATTGATTAATTGTATTTTATTAATGTAATAGGCAATGAATCAATCAATCTGAGTTTTGTGCTTCTGTTCTTTGTATGGTTGTCAGAAAAGTACAGGATTATGTGCTTTTGTTTTGAGCTTTCTCTGAGCATAGTTCATTGCAAACCAGCTTCAGCCATTTTAATTTTTTTTTGTAAACAGCTCATTGTGAGAACTTCTTGCATCGTTAAACACGTTACAAAGTAACTAAGAACAAATAAGCTGTACAAGTGGGTCAGTCTTACAAAACCATGTCAAAAAAGTAACAATTCTGAAATGTTCTAAAATGATTTTTTTTTAAATATTAATATAAATATTAATATAAAAAATATATATATATATAAAATTCAATCAATAAATCACATAAATAAAAAATGGATGGATTGATTAATTGTATTTTATTAATGTAATAGGCAATGAATCAATCAATAAAATCACATAAATGAGACGCATGCATAAAATCCAGTCAGTCAGTCAAGAAATAAATAAAATCCCATCAATTATTCAATGAATAAAATCCCTAAGTAAATAAAATCCCATAAGTAAAATAAAAGCAAGCTTCCATTTTAGGACCATTATTTTGGTGTTATGTACTGTTTTTGTGTAATGTGCTTTCTCTCTAAAATTCACAAAAAAAAAATGTTCAATGCTAATTGTCATAATACATTAATGTTTAATTGGGGGGAAATGTGTTTATTTGTCATGGAAATGTTACAGTGCTACATAACATAATTAAATGCTTCTCTTTAAGCAAAATTATTTTTGGTCGTTTTTTTATTTTAGGGTGAAATGGATGACTCGGAACTTGCTGATAAACTGACAGTTAAAATGTTGGGTTTCGTTCAGTCCTAGGAGACTGAACATGTGTTTCCATTATTCAAACTATGGCAAATATACACTGCAAAGGTGGCGCAGAAGTGCTTCTGAAGTGGCATTTACGTGTCTTTACACAGACTGTTTAATGCTGCTCAGATGAGGCATAAATGCATTTACACAGCTATCACAACTATATACTTTGATACTAAGGGCTGAGGTGGGTCAGAGCTGGCATAATTTAAAGGGGTCATATGATGCTGCTAAAAAGAACATTATTTTGTGTAATGAAATGTTTGTGGTTTAAAGTAAAAAAAACACACATTATTTTCCACATACTGTACATTATTGTTTCTCCTCTATGTCCCGCCTTTTTGAAACGTGTCGATTTTTACAAAGCTCATCGGTCTGAAAAAGCGAGGTGTGCTGTGATTGGCCAGCTATCCAATGCGTTGTGACTGAATGGCCGAATACCTCAAGTGTGAGACGGAAATGTTATGCCCCTCACCATACTGTTGATGCCATGTCCCGGCCGGAGCGACGAGGCAAAAACATTAAAACCCATTACAAACGAGGCATTTGTTGCATCCAGTGGGGACATAATTATGGATTATAATGACTTATACTGTTTTTTTACGCGTTGCACTGCATCGCGCCGCATAAACATAAAACTCCGTCTGCATTTGTGATCAGAGAAATGACAAACTACAAGTGCTACTCTACTGCCCAAAACTCGCGTTTGAATCATCAGTGGCAAATCCTTTAAATGAAAACGTACTTACAGACTGGGAGTCAGAACTGCCGGCATTTTAGTCTAACGTTACTCTCCCAGGATCAGTAAACAGTCCTCCATAAAATGTGCTGCACACATCTGGATATTTGGGTTAAACTGTTCTGGAACAGTGTTGTAAATACCACTGATTTGTAGTCGTGTCCTCTTTTGGAAGACCAAACAAAGTAGTTTCGCTTTCACAACGAAAAACACAGCGGCCTAGCGTGAGGGGAAGCCCCGGCTTAGCATGAGCTGAGGCCGGGCTAGAGTGAGCTGAGGCGGCCGGGTTGAGAACTGCGTGCCCGGCGGATCCGACGAATGAGCGGCAACCACATGTGA